GGGTGTTGAGTCAGGAGCTCAGGGTTAACTCTGTGATGCAGGACCTTTACTGGACAGGTGTGTGTCCCTCCTGAACAGCTTTGCTGGAGATGGAATTACTCTGGCAACAGGGATCTGACAAAGAAAAGAAATTCACAAAGCCTGTGCCTGGACACGTTGTCTGTAAGAGTTGTTTCTTCATCTGGACAAGCCTCTGGGCCCAAAGTGCTGGTGCATACTTCGGGAATGTGCCTATGGTATGGTTTGCAGTCAGAGCTGCATATTTTGCCTGCTGCATGCATCCAGCTGCAAGTTTCCATTCTTGGCATGTGACCATGTCCAAGGCCTGCACTAACACAGATTAATGGATTGCCACAACACCACATGATGTAGAAAAATCCTGCCTTAACTAAGCAGGCATAGACTGTAGGGGACTGAGTTAACCAGGTGTAGAGCCTGTTCTAAATCTCAGGAGTCTCTAGCTCTTGGGTACAGCAGATTCACCTCCTGGAAGACTTTAGGAAGCACAGAAGAAAATGCACTGGAGATCCTTGCTGCTGTCTCAGTTCTTCTGAGCACAAGGCCAGCAGGAAAACAGCGACTCTGTGCTCTGGACTGCAGGCAGACAGGATCCACTGGACAAGCCGCAGCCCTGATTCCCTAACCACCTCATCCAGGCCAGGGATGTGGTTGGAGCTCCCTGACCTCCTTTAGCCCACACACCCAATCTTTCTTCCCAGGAAGTCAGGTCTGCTGTAACCCTCAAAATGGAAGGTGTAAGGAGTGGCTGAGACCAAGGGTTACAGCAGTGTTTATGTCTCAGGGGTTATCCATGCCTTGCCTTCCACTGGAGAAAAATTCACTTTCATATCTCTCAAAGTCAGCTTGCTGTGGAATCAGTGGAGGAAGAGAGTAAAGCAAGAAGATAATGCAGTGGGGGAACATTTCTTTGCATCTTTCCTGGGTAGAGGCATCATCCCCGTTCCCATCACTTGCACGACCAGCTGTGATTTCTGGCAATGCCAGACACAGCCATCACTCTCTGGGTTCCTTTCCCTTTCATTGTCCTTCTGGAGAACAGGACTCTTGTTAGAAACCCTGCAAGTATCATTGAGAGCCAGCTCTATTATTCCCTAGCCAGTGAAGCAAGACAGGCATACTCTCCCACAACCTAGGGATGCCCCTCTGATCTATTACCAATGGGGCTATCTTTAATGGGATCAGAGCCTGCCCTTTTTCACATCCCACAGGGACAACACCTGCCCACCAGAGAACAAAGAAGAAACCTGTTGTGATGGGAAAAAAGACTGAGTTCTCTCCAGAGAGGCAGTAAGGCTGTTTGATTAAGAGCATCTTTCTCCCAGCCAGCTGGTTTGCTAGCAAAACAACCAACTAGACTTCATCTTTATGCAAGAGAGAAAATCTCTGTGAAGCAAATGCCATGAGTTCCATTTTATTCACCTATATAAACCACAAGAAATCTGGGGAAATCTTTGCAGAAAAAGGCTGCAGGAGCAAGAGGGAAAATATTTCTGCCTAAACCAAATATTTAAAAAATATTTTTAAAGGGTAATTTCAGTGCAGTATTTGAAATTCTGCAGCAAAGAGATCTATCTAGAAGCTTCATCTCTAGCTTGTCTTCCTCAAATGACACAACAGTTACCATGGCTGTACATTTCTCTGTAGCCCCTGTCTTCACAGAGGTGCAGCATCCCAGTCAGGCAGGTCCAATTCCAGCTGTGTTTTCTGCATGAATGTCCTCTGGGGACTGTCCCATGTGTGCACACCTGCCCAGGAGTCCCCTTTATCTGTAACACTCCCAGTCCTGGAGCAAGAAACCAGGATGGGACCAAACAACCCCCATCTCCTTCACAGTGGTGCCAAACTCCAAACCAAGCTATGCCTGGTTTTTTTCTCTGCCTGTTTCTCGAATTGGAGACCAGGCTTCATTGCTGGTGCTTATCCCATACACTGCCCAGTGGAAAACTGGCATGTGAGCACAGGTGTAGGTTCCAAGGGGGTCAGAAGGAAGTTGCCCATGACACAGGGGCCTTTGTGGTACATGGTTCATTAGCCCAGTCCAGAGCTGGAGTGGAAGGACTCAGGCATGCCTGGGTGTGTTTGTGCATCCTAGTTTCTCTGGCAGTTTGGTGACTCTCACAGAAGTGTAATTGTGAGCAAAGTTTTATTCCAGTGGATGCAGCACGTAGAAAGAAGTTCACCTTCAGTTAGAGAGGATCTTAATATGACCTTCCGTAAAAAAGGGGCATTGTTTTGAGTTGTTAAACAGCTGCTGTGTTCCACCCCACTAATGGTTGCAATTCAGGAGTGAATAATATAAGCCTTAGATAAACAGCTGGTAAAATAATTGGGATCTTTCCTGGCAGGGGGAAGCAGGCAAGTTACTCAACAAAAAGAAATTATTATTCTCACTGCCTAGGAAATGAAGTGCTCTCCTTTTCATCATCAAGTGGGCTGTCACACGAAATCTCTCCCCGCCCTTCTGGAAGCAACCCATACCACTTGTAGTGCTCTCTTGCCATCTTCACTCTCTTAGGAAGCAAGAGACCATTTTAGTTTGGATTAATTTATCTTCTCTGTTTTACCTTCTGACCTTTGTCTCCTTCTCTACCCCATCCCTGGTCTTCTTAAAAATTACCCTTCCAACTGCCCTTCTCCTGTTCTGTAGGGCAACAGACGCCGTCTCCTTTCTCGAGGCAGCTGTGACATGAGTGCAAGAGAAGCAGAAGCTTCCCCCACCCGCTCCCTCCTGCCAAACTCGGCGTGTCCACTCGGTACACGCTGTGTCTGCTGGGCTGGGGCAGCACTGCAGAGCACCGGGCCCTGGGTCTTGGCCTCCATCGGATGAACAATTTCCCGTTGAAGGTTACTCACTTCCTGTTTTCCGTATTTAGACAATCTGGGCCTATTGGGAGCTTTGATTTGTTGTAAACTTCAGCTGTTTTAAACGTTAAGTCGCGGGAGACTGAGGTAAGGGGAAGGAGGGGGAAAGGCCTGTAGACAAATTAGGGTTATTTAATAGCAGGACTGTGTTCTCTCTGCAGTGTTCTAGTGACCATTAGAGCATGTGAAAGGAAGGTCAGGGGCTGAGAGCATGGGAGATGGCGAAAGGGCTGCGTGCGGCTCTGTGTGTGCGTGGGGCTGTCCGTGAGTGTGTGTGGTCAGCACTTGGAATCAGCCAGGGGATGCACTGCAATGACTAATGTCTCCAGTGTGTCATTGTGCCACAAACAGCTGGATGGAGGTGGTAAGAGCAGTGCAGCAGCTCCACAGCAAAGGCAGGGAGGAGCTTCTAACCTAGAGAGTGCTGTGCCCTTTCCCTGTGCCTATCAGTACACACCACATGCTGACATTTGTTAGAACTTGCCCTGAAGTTTGCTAGGCTGGAGCAAGTTAACACTTGTAGGTAGCTGATAGGGCAGGTCATGTCTTCTTTATGCCTCTTTTGCAAGGGTAAACTGAGGCAGGGAGCACTGTAATTATGCTTGTTATCAGAAAGTGAGTGTGTGAGGGAATGGGGTGAGTCCTGGCACTAGTCAGGCAGTGGTCTGCCTCCAGAGATGTGCTTTTTCATCAAGAACATCTTTCCTGTGCTGCTGGGTGTAATGCTTGGAAAGAAGAAAATAGTGTGCAGTCCAGAGTGCCTGTGGGCTCAAAGGTTATGTGAATAATTTTGGTCTGTTCTTTTTGTTCATCTAGTTCTCTTCTATCTATGATTAACTCTCAACATGGGTTTGTTTTACTTCCAAAATTTTCAAGGACCCACAAAAAAGAAAAGAAAAATAAAGCAAAATAATGGATGGGCTGAATTAAAGCAGGAGATGGTAAAATAATCTGTATTTTACAGCAAAATCCAGTAGGGATTGCCTTGAGATCACCCTAGCAATATAACCTGCCACCAGAATGCCAATGTAGGCAACTGGGAGTAAACTAAAGAACCAGAGATAAAAAGCACAACCAAATAGACAACAGAATGTCCCAGGTAAAGAAATCTGCCATGTACTATCTGCCTGACAGAGAGCAGGCAGGAGCTGAATCAAGAGCCAGAAGAAACTAAGAGCACTGGGAAAGACTTGGTGAAGCACTGAAGTGTTTAGAAGAAACAAGGGTCCATGTTCACGTTCTGGCATTGATAGGCCCAACTCCAAATGATTTACACAGGCTCTTGACCCTCCTGAGCCAGAGTCAACTTTCCCCCAAATAATTCCCTGCAGCCCAGAGCACAGAGAGAGGTGTGTGCAGGATACAGGCAAATGGCTGTTTTCTGCCTGGTGCTGCTGTATAGGCTGCATTAGTGTTATACTTCCCTGATTCAGGTTTTTATAGACCCAGCAGTAGCAGTTCCCTCCCTCAGCGGTATGTCAAAGCCTTTCCCTGGAGGAGGGGTTAGTTCACTATTGTCTTTCTACCTGCTGGATGTTTTCTCTCTCACTCTGGATTCTCTGTCACCAGGATCTCTCATCCTGCAGCCGCATTTTGTTCAGATGCGCTTTCGCTGCTCAGAAATGCAGCTTAGTTCTTACTGCAAATGCAGGGCAGTTCTGCGGTGTCTCCCAAAAGTTTCCTCAGACGGGGGTCCTAGACCTCTCAGCAGCACCTTGGTGCAATGTAAGCCCTGAATTTAGGACAAACTGTATCTGACAGGATCTCGTCAGACTGAGCCACCAGGATTGGCTGCAAAGCTGGCACCACAGAGAATTTCACCCAAAGCTGTTCAAGCAAATGGTGTCTCTGAATTGGCACCAGCCAGCTGCCCTGATGCTGAGGTTTGATCTGTTAGACCCAGAGCAGCCTGGTTTGCACTCATATCACCATGCTTAAAGAACAGTCACTTAATCTCACTTAGAAATGTTTACTTGCAAGGACCAGATGGCCCAGGGAATTGGGCTAAACAAAGCATTTTACTTCTAGGTCATGCATTCTAATCCAGTCCAGGTTGGTGATAAATGAACATATTCACCTGATAGCCACTTTTGGCTTCATTTTTGGTTGTTTTTCAGGCTAATTTCCAAGGGGAGATGCCTCACCACAAAATCTCCCTCTCTGCCCTGCCACAGTTGGTACTGATTTGACTGTCTCTGCAGAGAAGCCAAGGATCAAATGCTCCATGGCGCCAGACTGTTTTCTTTTGCAGCCTGCAGGTAAGGGGAAGTTGTCCTGTGTCTGGCTGTGTCACGCTTGCTCCGAGGATGGGCAGGCATTCAGTTTGTGAATCTGCTGCCCCAACCCCCTCCACCAATGTGAAATTATATTTTTTTAAAAATGGGAGAATGCTTAATTGCGGTTGACATATAGGCACTCTCAGTTATGAACTTTACATGCAATCACAGATAACAGCATCAAAATTAATGCCTGCTTCCCACTTGTCCTTCTATAAGCAATAAACGTTTGGCAAGTCAGTAAATAACAAAATTCTCATGTGGCCATCTACAGGTCACCAGGATACTTAAGAAGTTTGCGTTAATTATACCATGTTTGCCATCAAAGAGGGGATATTAACCCTTTCGAGCTGTTGCAGGAAAGCAGTGGAGTCATTTGAAAGTAAGTAAATAAAATCTTGTCACTAAAAGCGCAACTTTTGCAAAATAATAGTTTAAAAAGGGATGTTTGAAGCAAAAACCTCAGTATACATCATGGAAAATACAGTACCTTTTCAGCTTCCCTTTTATTTATTTTGTATTTTGACATCAAACACTCCCTGTAACCTAATCTTCTTGGCTTTTGATGTGGCCGTGGAGACATGACAATTAAGCACTGCTTAAAACAATAATCCCAACAACAGGAACCAAAGGCAAGTAATGTCAGGGTTCCCCCCTCACAAAAATTCTGTCCCACAGTGTTTGGTGGTAGTGAAAGGACTATAAATCCCAATTTGTTGCCTTGATATCTGCTCTGTGCTTACACTTTACGTTGAACTTTACACACTTGCTCCATTTCCATTCCCTGCTGTTTGTTTTTCTTCTGCTATGCGAAATGTCTGGAGACAAACACAATACACACATTGCAGAGAGATGGTTTGATCTTTCACAGATTAGTGCCACCTGACAAACATGGGATTATTTATTATCTGTGTTGCAGGAACTGCTGAAGCCTCTGCTCAGAGAAGCACGCTCCTCCGGGCGCTGGGGGATGCACCACCCCTCCTGACAGCCTGATGGATTATGGCCCCAGTTCTGTCAGCAGATCCAACCAAACCAGCAAACCAACGGCAGAGAGGCAGCCCCCAGGTAAGCCACCATCACAATCTGAATGGGATGTGTACTGTGCAACCAAAGCAAACAGCTTGATTATTCCTGTTTTAAAGAGATGTTGCTAGTTCTCCTTTCTCAGTTATTCAAGCATAGAAGGAGATTTTTTCTTTTTTTAATGGGTGTTTGCACTAAGCCTTGCTGAACAAGTTAGAGAGATTATTAACTCATCTGAAATGATGCAGGAAGGCCTTGTCCCAGTTGTGTGTTCTTCCTTCAGCACATGGAGAGCTGCTGCAACTCCGTGGTATTCATAAGCAGGACTTGCAACCAGGGCTGGGCAAAAGACTGCAGGGGGAAAGAGAAGCACTGCTAGAAAGAGCTGGGATTTACACACACACACACACACACAGAGGAAAAGGAACCAAGGTTATTTTTTTTCTTAATGAGTAGAGTTATCCCCAAGCTGATTTCCATAGGGAGTCAAAGGAGGAAACCCAAAATTCATTAGCAGTTTTCTTGAAAATATTGTTGCAGCAGCAGCAGTGTGCACCCCTACGCACGGCAGGGTGACTTTGCAAGACTTTGCTGCACTTTAGAAGGCCCCAAGGGGCTCCTTGTATGGTCAAACTTGAATGTGTGATGAAAGCAGCCACAAAGTTTTGGTCATGGAAAATCTGTTTGACAAGCAATTTTCTCCATCCTCACATGCCAGTCCATGTGCACACCTCCCTGCCCCCAGGGCTGCAGTCCTCGTTCCCAGGGCAGCTCTGAGCAGCTCCAGGCTGGCCATCCCCCCTTGCACAGGTTTCCAGGTGGAGAGTGTTTCTTTGGAGAACTTTCCCTAGTCTAATACAGGTCCTGCCTTGAAATCCATTAAGCAGCTGGCCACTTTTCTACATTTACAGTGCTTTTAAAATGTGTTTTTAATGTAAAAGTATTTCTCCAAGCACTTTAATAAAAGAATCAAGACACACCAAAAAAAAAAAATCAAGAGAAACCACAGTTCATCATCTACAATGTGGCTGCTGCCTCAAAATTTAAACTAGCTTAGAAACTTTGGCACACTTAACTGCATGACCTCGTCACCCCAAAACAAGGCTGGAGAATGAGCTTTTGTACCTGTGCTTTTAATACTAAATCATTCTTTAACTACCTTTTTTTGTCCTACCCTGTTAGGTTTTCAAAATATCAATAGACTGCTCTGCATAAGGTATAAGTTAATAATTCTACTGGCAACAATGACAATAATTTTTCCTCTCTCCCTGCTAAAAGCAGCTTTTATGACATGAAGCAGGACACAGGTAGTTTCACAAAAAAAGGTATTTATTATTCTTAGCAATATTCACCTTGAAGGAATATGAGGAAAGCATACACTTTTTACAGACAATATATAAACATGTTGTACATAATTAACAATAATTTAGTTCACTAATCCAAAAATAAGCAAAATAAAAATTAAAATAAAAACAGAAAATACTGAAGAATTTTTTTATGCTGATACAAGTACAAAATAATTTAAATCTCAACTGCCGTTGTCTATGCTGCAGTGACTGACAATATATTGCACTTTGTCAACTGTATCAGTAATCCCTGTCTTTAACCCACATCCCTTCCCCTCTGCCCAAATCCTACAGAAATTTGAGTTGGGTACAAATAATATACAACTGTACCATTGTAAAAGGTAAAAAGTAAAAAGGACCTAATTTTTTACTTCAGTAGATTAAAAATTCTTATGATTTCTCCCAACCAATTTGGTTTCCCATTTCTTTCCACTTCTTTACAAAGTGCACCTATATGCCTACGCAGACCAAAGAAAAAGGAGGAAAGCAGGATTTTCATGGCTGCTTGGTTCTTAATTATAAAATACTAGAATTACAGGTTTTTAAAAAAATTTACATACATCCATTTTTTTTATTTCATTCTGTTGTTTTTTTTTTTAAAGCAGGACTTTTGCAGTAAAGATACAATTTGGCTTGATCCAAAAAAAAAAAAAAAAAAAAAAAAAGGAAAATCCCAACAACAAAGTAGTTAAAATTTAAAAAAATAAAATAAAAAGCTTGTCACAGAGTTAAGCTTACGTTGTTTACATTATCAAACCCCTCTGTTCATTGGGGCATTTTCATCAGAAGTATACCTAAATATGTACACTGTATGTTATACTGGAGCTTGTGTTCACGAGAGGCATCAGATCATAACAATCAATAGAATACACTTCACATTGGCAATAGCTTTGTTTTCGGTCATTTACGTACAATATGCTTTAATAATGGGAGATTTAAATTGATTTTTTTGTTCTTTTCTTTTTTTCATATAAAATCCGCTACGGAAAACAGACGTTCCCCTTAGAACGATGCTTTCCCTCAGCTGTCTCTGTGTCTGGGATTTGACGGATGTGTGAAGCTCAAACTGATTGTCTCTCTTTTTCCCCTCTCCAGTGATCTCAGCCTCATTTCTGCCCTTCCTCCCTGTGAAGTCCACCGGGGCCTGGATGCCTGAGACAGCACGCGCTGGCTGCATGTGGATGTGGTGGCCACACTGCCCAAAGTTTACCCAAGCAGCTAATCTGCATTTTTAAGCGACAGCTGCCAACACAACAGAACAAAATGCTTCAACCTCTAAAGTCTGCAAGCAGGATGGTTTTTGTGCCCCATTATAGTTTTGGCTGTGCTAGAACTTACACAGGCATTTACCAAAATTGTGTTGCAGCTATCACCCCTTACTAGTGCAGGATTGCCTTCCTCAGTTTCTTCCCAACAGTTTGTCTGATCTAGGTTGTCTGGTTTGAGGAACAATAGGGTAGTTGGGAGAGGGGCTCTTTTTTCAAATAAATCTTTCATGCTAGGGAGAAGAATGAAGGTTGTGTCAAAATAATCACCATCTTGGGCTTATTAAAATCCCGTATTACAGCTACATTTTTGCTTTGTTCCTCACCTTTGTAATCTTTTCCCCCTTCCTAGTAACTTTGGTATGGAGGATAGATGGAGCTAATCCAAGAGGGCTGTTGAGTACAATTCCCCTCTCCTTGTTTTGAAGGCAGCTTTTCTTTTAGGGTAGCCATTGCAAATGACAGCACAAAAACATGCAATCAGAGGGGTTGAGGCTTTTTGTGGAAAACAAAATAAATATGACTTTCTGTCTGATTTTTAAAATTACGGTTTAATAAAGACGCCTTTTTTTTTTTTCCCCTTTTCTTTTTTTTTTGGCTTTTTTTCTTCTTTTTTTCCCTGTCCCAAAGTCCGCAATAGAAATCCAGCATGTCTGGCTCCAGTGAGCCAATTCCATCCTGGGAGGCTGCTTATATCTCTTTACAATATTCACAGTAATATCAAAGAGAGAAAGGAAAGCCAGTTCCAAGCCTTCTCCTTCAGCTTCTGCCATCTTTTGCTTCCTGCTGGACCATTAAGTATCGAACAAGTGAGTTCTTTTTTCTTATACCTGAGGGGGCAAAGTGCATTACAGGCACCACTACACATTTCTGCAGAAGACCCATCATTTGCAAGGTTTTAGTCCAGCATTAAGAGTTAAACCACATGGGAGCAAAGGTCTCCTTTTGCCATCCCTACATTCTCCTCTTGGCAGAACATTGTCTTACTTGGTGTCATCTTAGGCAAAGTCCCATGTTCTTAATATCTGGATGGGTCTCTTGGTCATCAGGTTTTATCCCATGGCTGTAACCATGCTGGATGGGTGTGGGTGTCCAAATGAGATGCTGGAAGATGGGTGGATGGGGGTAGGTGTTGGTAGGATGTGTCCAGAGTGGCTGAAAGGGGGCAAATGCCCCATGGGTGCCATGTGACTGGCAAGGGCAGCAGCGCTGAAGGGAGACGACTTCTCCTGCATGCACTTGGACAGTTCCTCAAAACACTCAGAGCCTTTCTTGCTTTTCTTTGATTTGTTGGACATTTTCCTATTCCTGGTCTGAATTCCTTCCTTTTTCATGGTCAGAGGCCTGTTCACCTGCAAGAAATGAGAAAATCAGGCTCATGCAGACAAAATGACCTTATTGTGCAAAAATGAAAATATTTGGACAGCCCCCATGTGTTTTTCCTGGATGGAGACCTTTTTCTGGACAAAAAAAAAAATGGTGTTTCTCTCTGCAGAACTTGTTTATATTGATTTGTTTAATAAAACCACACACACAAAAAACCCCTAGACATGAAAAATAAATTGAACTGAATTTGGCAGCTGATGACTCTCTTTCCCGTAGGCTTACCCTCAGTCCTCATTAATTTCCTAATAGAAGATCAAACTAGGAGGCACACGCTGACCCAAATGCAGTCCTGAGACATGAGCAATCTTGTACCAGTAACCTCTGTTACCTACAGTGTAAATAACGTTCCAACGTATCAAGTGTTTCTGCTTAGGATTAATTTCTTTTAAAAAAAAATAAAATAATACAACAAAGCCTTAGATACGATTATTTTTTTTACAAGCCAAAATGAAGATAGCCCATCAGGATTAATTTTTATACAGAGCCCATTCCAAATGGCCTCTGTTTCTGGAGGGAAACTGAACACAAAACCCACTTAGTTGAAACCAAGTGTGGCAGCTCTATTTTGCCTGGTTTGCCCAAGCGTTAGAAGCCAAGCTAATACATTGTAATGTCACCGAACTTAGCATCACTATGCTGACAAAGAACGGCTGTCACTTCCCAGGGGAACCTTAGAGACGGGGGAAGGAATAAAACAACAACCAACCCCCTGAAACCAATAAAAGCCTAGTGTACACCATGCAGTTAAGACATCAATCCACACTAGGCAAGCAGCGACACATGAGATGAGTAAATACTCACATTGTGCAATTTATAGTAGAGTCCGCAGGCATTACAAACTGGGTCCCCGTTTGCATTACGTCGCCATAAGGTCGTGGTGGTTGTCTGACAGTTGGCACAACAAGTCCCTGCTCTCCTGGCCGCTGACTAACCAAAAGAAAAAGAAAATTAAAATGCATCACCAGGTGGAGGGAGATCATGAGAGAGGTCAAACTGGGCTCAAGATTAGTTTGGGAGAACTTGTTACTAAGATTTCAGAAAGCATCGGGGCTGGAGAAAAGCTGCTGTCAGTTTCAAGTTTTATGGGCGTTATGTTTTTGTTTAAATTTAAATATTCTCCTATGCAAACTTTCAAGCCCCATGGCACTCTGTGCGCAAGGGAAGTAAGGAGAGAAACAATGAATCTCTGATTCCACAGGCAAAGATTTTAGAGGGGGGAAAAAATAATCCTGACTTTTTCAAATTTTCCCTTTGCAGGATTTTAGAATACACCATGAAAATGCATTTGCCTTTTTATTTTTCTTTAATGACCAGTTTAGTCTGTGCCAGTGTTGGGACTGGGTTTGAAAACAGTGAATCTTTAAGAATGTGATTTCTACCCCTGCTCCGGCCCTTGAAAGGTGGACACAAAAGATAATGAACCACATTACTTAGCTGGGTGCAGTATTTATCAGAGCCATCACTGAAAATTCAGTTTGCATTTACAAGTGAAAGGGAGAAAACAAAACCGGCTCCAACTTTCTTTAAATATTTAGCAAACCAAATTTCATGCCTTGCAGCAATGATTCCGCTGACCCCGTCTGCCGCCTCTGTCCCTACTTAGTTCCTTGGCTGACAAGCCCTCAAACAACTGTCTTAAAATTAAACAAAACCACCAAAAATCCACCACCCTTTCCTAGAACTATTGTTCTGCTGAAACCAAGGTGAGGGGAAAGAAAAATGCCCAAACATTCACCCACCTCCCAAAACAAGAACAGGAAAAGTAGAACAGCAGGCGCCTGTGATTCCTGGACGGGCCCTTGTCTAACAGACCCCGCGATAAAGCGTCTTTTGTGCATGGACAGTGACGTATAAAGTGTTATGGACAGATTAACTGCACCCCGTATTTTGGGATATTATTTTGTATTAGAAACCTTCAGCCCTGCCTTTAGAAGTGGTCAAAATACCAAGTCCATTTTGTGCTACTGAATTAATGCTGGGGACTCAGTATTTTCTTAAATTGGAGTTTACTTCCTAAAGCATATCAAGCGTGGTCGTTCCCTGGGGGCTTTGCTCCCTGGATATTTCTGCAATTATCCATGGAGAGCCATGGGATAAAGCAGCAGCAAAGCTCACAGTAATGCACAGGGCATCTCTATGAGCACAGAGCCAGTCCCAGGGCAGTGGGATTCCCAGAGAACTCCGTGTGCTTCCCTGCCCGCCAGCCCCAGTGGGGAGCAGGCGCCGCTGGAAGCACAGCTCGGCCCGCTCACCAAAGAGGAGCACAGGGTTCTGTTCTCACTTGCTCCTGATTTATGCCATGGCCCTCTGTAACTTTCCCAAAGCTGATGGACGGTTCAGCAGCTTTAGGCAAGAATCAGGCCCTCAGAGACTCGTATATTTCTGTGCCTTACTCGCCTGTGAGAACAGGCCAAAGGCAGAAAGAGGGGGTACCCCCTACTGCAAATGCACTCATGCAACCCAAACACAATTAATGCCAGACGTCCAAACGCTGACATTATTAATACGATCACTTTGCTATTGCATGGCAGATTAACAAATTCCCAAAGATGGCCACCTCCTCTCCCCCACAAACAAGCAAACTACAGTGGAAAAAGGGGCAATAAACAAAGCTGTAAATCAATTAAAACAAAACAAAACATTTAAACAGCTAAACATGAAAAGAAAACCGCTCTAGTGCCCCCCAAACCCTGCACAGTGAGCTAAGTATAACAGTCTCCCAACACACTGGAAGGTGGAGACCTATGTTTGCATATTTGAGATGGCTTACTGATACTCAACTCTGCTGCTTAACTCTATGGCCTGTCCCATTCAGTCTGGAAAGCACTTGAGCTTGAGAGACTGATAATGTTACACTGTTGTCTTAACATTTTTCTATATGTCAGTCCCTTTAGAAGACAAGTCATTAAGAAGCTTGCATAGCTGAAATTCTAACTCGGGAGAGAAATCTTCTATATCCCATCCCAGTGTTAGAACGGTAATGCTAATTTTCTGCTCTCTAAACCTCATTGATATTTGCCCACGAACAGCTAGGAGACTTAGGCACCATAAATCACAAAGCTCCAAAAAATATATTTATTATTCTTAGCATTTTACGCATTATTTGCGGAGTAAGAGTGTATTAGAAATTTCAAAACAGCAAGCATGACTGGCAAGGCTTGCCTATAGAAACTCTCTAAAGCTTTTAGAGTCAGGAAACAGATACACAAAGTTTCATTATCTTTAACGTACAGATATCCGGATAGGAAACAACTACCAGGAGCTTAGAAAGGACTTTTTTTTTTTTTTAATCAGTCAAATGAAAATACGAAGTATAGGTGACTCCATGGAAAAATAATAGGATTTTTTTAACAGTAGGGGATTGTCTGGGGAGGGAACCAATATTAATATTGCCAGAGAATATAAGAGTGAAAATTACTTCATGGCTTTTATACAAATAATTTTTAAGTAGGGAGCAGTAGCTTTGACTCATCTGATTTGTTTTGCTTTTCTGGAGCTGGAACTTTTTTTTTAGTACATGGTGGAGGACATTCATGCTCGTAACCCTTTCGCTCCCAGTGTGTGCCCAAACCGTCCCAAGAGGCCAAGTAAATGAGGAATTAAATTAAAAGCTGTCATCTGAGGAAAAACGGGGAGAAGGACACCCGATATCCCGCATGCATTGTGAGCGGCAGGAGGCTCGGGACAGAGGCTGGGGGCCGAGGGGTGAGGGGGAGATGTGCCCCGGGGCTCGGCAGTGACCCCGCCGGGGGTGACTGACCCCCGTGTACAGTACAGCTCGGCTCCTCGCAGGGGCCGGGCAGAGATGAGGCACGATTGACTCGTGCCTGTGTGTGGTCCCGCTGCCTTATTTATCCCCAAACCCAGGAGAAATGAAGACACCTACCAGCCTTCGCTTAGGTTTAATGAGAGGTCGGTTTTGACCGTTCATTTTGTGGTAGAGCCCGCAGGCGTTGCACAGGTAATGCCCGGTGCCGTCTCTTCTCCAGAGAGGGGTAGCAGTGGCTCCACAGTTCACACACTCTCTGCCCTCTAAACGAAAACATGAAGAAAACAGGTTTCTTTCTTTAAAAACAAATTCACAAAATCTTTTTGCATTGTCCTTTAGGCATTTTTGAGTAGTCAAAAGAGTGTGTTAATTCTGTTAATTGAGCACAACCAGACAGCAGTGACATCTACAATACAGGCAGCAAGGAGCTCAGTGTTTCAAGAATTCCCAGGCTCCAGTGAGTATTTTATGTCATGATCAGGAATAGGCAGCGTTCTTTGCAAGGTGAGAAAGAGTGACACTCTCATTGTGTCAGATGGAAGTTATCGTTTCAGCAAGGAGAACTCCCTCAGTCTTCCCTGGGCACCGCTCCCCTCCCGTATCTATTGCACTCTGGTGGTGAAATCCTGTGTTCCCCTGCCACAAAAACACCCGTGCACGTGCACACAAACACACACACACACTTACAAACACAAAACACTTTAAAGAGAGTCAGAGGAAGAGGTTTTCTAGAAAAAAATCTAAGCAAAAAAGACCTCAAATTCTGCACTTTCTTTTTTGTTGCAAGTTCTACAGGAGAATAAAGTAGAGCCGAGCAGACTGGGAATGGGTACAGGATACCAGAGTCTCAGTTACAATTTTTGTTCTAAAGGCATAAAAACACTGTTAATGCTGTTCTTTGAGAAAGTTCAGTTTCACTATTAAAAAAATAGGCTTGAGTGCTTTTCTGTTTCTGTGATTTTTTTAGCAATCCTGTTTGGATTTGGTAGGGAGCAGTTTACCTTCATTATTAGTTTAAGTACAGTGTGGTAAACATTGTAGAATGGCTGCATGAAATAAAACACAACATGTAACTCCTAGATATCCTTCTGCATCAGAAAGCTTCCTGCTAAAAGTTCATTTGACTTGGATGGTTTGAGGGCAGGTCTGCTTAATATAGAAATCTCTCATAATACCGTTTATGCAAATCCTAGAGTATTTAACTGGAAAGGAAATTCTTTTTGCTAATAACTGAAGCAGACCATGTTGAGTTCAGCGGGGTTTGTGTCGGCTTTAATCTAGGGAGTGAGTAGCTTTTAAACAACACAGTCTAGAGTGAGAAATGAGGGGAGCTCTGCGGCACTGCATTTGTAGCTTTTGTCCCTCCTAGGGCAGGAAGCTGCAGGAGTCGTCTTGTCGTGACTCTTAGTTTTCCTACAAAAACACTGAGTGGTCACGAACTTTCCCCAGTTCCTTGCACTGGGAGCTCCCTTACAGAGAAGGGGGAAAAAAAAAAAAAAAAGAAGCAATTGTAAAACAAAAGAGAAAAGGTCCTTGCTTCCCCCATCTAAAAATCATCGGCAGCTATGGGACAGAAAAATTTTAAAACAGTTACTCAGGATCCCTCTGTCTTTAGAGACCTGGATCTTGAACCAGTTTCCAAATTCAGGCGGTTTGGGCTACTCATTGCCTGTAGTTTCTCTTCTATGCACTACCCAAAAAAACATACACATAGTAGCAAGTGCCTGGAAATTACAAGAGAGAAAGAATGTATTTTTCCTCTCTGAGGAATCATTTGAAACAGTACTGATGAGCTTGTAAAATAGCTGGTATTTTTGTTGCAAAACTCATAAGAGATCACATTTCTAAATTATTGTCTACTTAAATAAAAACATGTAGCGTATTCATAAGCAAATATGTTCAATGGAATACATATGCAAATGCCTATAGGGCCTTTTATTTTCAAAGGGCTGTCTAAATTCAGTCCCAATATATTGCAGTTAATTTCCTTCCATTGGTGAAAATGTTAAACCAAGAAAGTCAGTAGAATTACATAAATTGTCATAATTTGTGTCGAGCTGTATAACTACTGCGATTTCAAAGTGGGGTCAAAACTTTGTTCATCGCCTGATTTACGAATTTAGGACTGCACTTTTAGAAGAAATGCAAGGAAGGGTTGTGAACATGGGAAGAGTCTGCAGGCAGTCATTTGGAAGCAGAGATATGTCTGATTCAGGATAAAAAAAAAAAGGTGAGGGGAGTATTTTCTAGTTAAAGTTAGGCTGAGTAAGTTAGCAGTGACTGAACATTTTAGTCTTTGGCACCGGTATGTAAACTATATTTGAACTTCTGCTCTTGTAAAATGCAAAGGGGAAAAGGCCCTTTGCGATCTGAAGGGGGACAGACCAGGGAAGTTTCGCTTTCATCTTCCACTGGGGCCTTGGGTGGTGTTAATGGAGAGCCGTGGAAATAACGGAGGGAGCAATACCTATCTCTGGAAGTCCCCGTGTGCCATCCATGGGGGTTTGCCTGCCTTGAGGGAGCAGGGTCGAGCCTGAGCCCCTCGGGAGCCTCAGGCCTGCTTTTCTCCGACTAAAAGGGTTCGGGTTTCTTTCTCCATATAAATCCCTCTTTGTACAACGCTGTCTGCTGGCTCACACTGCCCGGTCCCTTGCCCCGCGGCCCCTTCGAGCGCCCTGTGGCCAGTGCCTGGCTGCGCTGGCACCCACAGGAGCCCAGTCCAAGCTCCATCTCCTGCTTTAAACACACGGAAAAGCAGAACCAAGCAGCCACCTGTCCCTCTGCAGCCAGCCTCGCAGCAGCAGCAGCAGCACCCCAAGAGCCCCTGCAGCCGGGACACGGCGGGCACGGGGAGCGACACTTACCCGAACAGGACCTGGCCTTGCTCCGCGGCTTGGGGGTGAAGCTGGACGCGGGGCCCCCCAGAAAGCTGCCCGGGTGGAAGAGGCTGCTGCTGTAGTCGTGGGCTGCCGGCACGTAGGAGGGGTATGTGGGGATGGGGTGGTGGGTAGAGGGCTGAGCCCCCATGCTGGTGAGGCTGCTTCTGAGCGGGCTGGCGCTCTCCATCTTCATCCCCTCCGACAGCGACACTTGGTACTTGATGCTGTCTTTGTCCTCCTGCCGAGCCCCGGCGGAGGAAGAAGGGGAGGCGGCGCTGGTGGAGTTGGGGTCTGGGGACACTTCCTTAGGAGGGGTCGGGGGGAAGCCGAAGAGGTGGGAGCCGGAATGCGAGGCCGGGGTGAGCGAAGACACGGAGGCGGTGCTGGAGGTGCTGCTGCCCGGGTACACCGAGATGGCCCCGGGCGCTCCGGCCGCCGAGGGGTGCAGGGGTGTCTTGGTGAAGGGGCTGACGGTCCAGGGGTTGTGGTGATGGGCAGACAGTGCCGCCTTGCTGCTGTCCAGCCAAGGGATCCCGGGGCTGTGGATAAGATGAGGCCGGCACATTTGACTCCCGGTCAGGCGGGCTGTAGAAACACAAGAGGGTTTGGGGTCAGCGTGGGGCGGCTCGGGGGAGACTCCAAGTCCCCGTGCTTGGGCGGCTCCTCGGTCTGCGGGCAGCCGGAGGACAGGACGGGACACACTTCACAAGCCGGGGAAGTGCAGCCAGGCTGGTGCAGCAGCCCCTTCACCCTGTCCCATCTGAGGGAGATACCAGCTAGCCCGGCCAGCAGAAGCAAAAGGAACAGGAGGGGGACTCAGGCAATCCCTTTCCTCCCACCCCATTCCTGGGAAAATGCAGCAAACCCCTTTCCCCTCTAACTTTCTGACCTGTCGTAACACCCTCTCTTCGGCTCCTAAAAACACCCCCAAATAAAATCCATCGCCAGAGTTTGAATCGGTTTGTACTTTGCATCCGGGAAGTAGCCGTGTCTGAGAAGTTTTAGCCCGTGCGCGCACAGTTTCCCCTTCCTCTCTCACCTCCCCCCTTTCTTTCCCTCCCCTCTGCTACTCCTCGGTTATCCCTAGGGTTAAAATCCACCCGTGTCTGCCTGTCTGTCCTGTTTTCCATCTCCTTTTCCCCGGCTCCGACACACTGGAGCGGCCCCGAGTGAAGCTGCTGGGGCCACCCGCGGCTCGCACGGAGGGGCCCGGAGCGCTGCCGAGCCCGGGGCAGGGCCCGGGCTGCTGATTTACCGTGTGCCTGGCTGTAGGACACCCTGGCCCGGGCATGGGCGGAATTGGCGTAGTAAGGGTTGCCCTGGGAGTCCAGGTGGTTGAAGAAGACGTCGACTTCATCCGGAGGTAGGAGCTGCGCTGGTTCCATGTAGTTGTGAGGCAGCCCGGGGTGGTGGCTGTCGGGGTGCTGCCCATTGAGCACGGCGTGGTGGGCCATCCAGCGAGGCTGATCCGTGGCCACCTCCATGGCCCTGGGCCTCCCCTCTCACCCACCCCAGGCCGGGAGCGAGCGGCGCTCGGTGGGGGCGGGGAGTGCTGCTCGGAGGGTCGCTTTTGACGATGCCTGGTGGGTTTTAAGAGATTTGAGGTGGCTTTTCTCAGAAAGAAAACCGCCGAGTGACTGGAGCGCGCCCTCTGAGACGTGGGAGAGGACCCCTGAATCAGCGTGTCCCTCTGTCACCAGGCGGGTAGCGGAGGCAGGTCCGGGGAAGCGCCAGGGCAGCACCTGTAGGGACAGACGGGAGGGTTTAGCAGGTCGGCAGCCCCGGGTGCGCTGCTCGCCGGGCCGGCTCCTGGCCGGCTTCTTTCCCCAGAGGTACATGGATGGGGAGGGGGAAGCAGAGCCCCTCCTCCCTTCCAAAAATATCCTGTCCCCAAAACTCCTTGCCTTGCTCTCTCCCTGCTCATTGCCCCACAAAGTAAACAGAGATCTATTTCAAACTCTTAACTAAAAACAAAAAGGAAAAAAGGAGGGAAAAAAAGAAAAAGAAAAGAAAAAGAAAAAAGAAAAAAGAAAAAGCTTCGTTCCCCCCCTCGCTAGAAACGTCAATAGGAGTTTTTCCAGCTGGCTTCAAAAGCGGGGTGAAAAAGGAAGAACGGCAGAACTAATATAGCGTAGTTCTAGCAAGAACTCCAACACAAAAGGAAAAGGAGGGGGAGAAATAGGGAGGGGGTAGAGAAGAAGAGTGGAGAGAAGGGTGTTTAGAGAAAGCAGCGAGTGCGCCCTGGCAGTGGCGCGGCCACCCCCCCGCGCCCCACACTTACCCGGCCCGGGAGGCTGGGTGGCGATGAATGCCGGCGTGGAAGATGCGAGTGCAGCAAAGAGGGGGAGAACGGAGGGGGAATTAAAAAAGCCAAGAGGGAGAGGAGGGAGGAAAGGCAGACCGAGAGCGGGAGGAGCAGAGGAGGTCGGATGGAGGGTGTTACTCAGATGGCAAAGCCGCTGCTCTGGCCGGCTCGGTCCCATCCCCGTGCATCCTATATGA